TTAATGGTTCACCAAAAAAAACTGTCTGCGTCTGCAAAAATATTACAAAAAAAAACCGTACACTCGGAGTTATCCCTTATGTTTCATTGATAAATTATGAATAAACTCATTCATACAGACGATCATTTACTACCTTTCTTGTTGTTTTATAGAAATACGTATTTCTACAATAAATTCAGAATTTACAATTTGTAGTATTTTCTTATTTAATGAAATATTTGAATGAAGTAAAGAAAATTAATTAAAAGAAACTTTAATTATTGATTGATTTATTACATACATTAAAATAATTCCAGTTTAAATTAACTTCTTTACTTTAGTTTTACGTTTAGTTACGATTAATTTAGTAATTAATGAAAAATCTATAAAAAGGGTATAATTTTAAGTAATTTACATAATTATAGTGTAAATGAATTATTTGAAATAATGAATATACATTTTTTTTAATGTTTAACAACTAAACAACTAAAAATTAGTGAATTTCCACAATGCCTTTGAAACATAGCTTTTGTGGTATTTACCAATTCCCAACAGTCGTATTGACAAAAGTCCTATTCAGCTTGAAAATTAATTAAAAGCGTTTTGAACTTTATAGCATTTGTATTAATTTGAAATCGAAGTTCGCACATTTGTGACATTTGTTCCACACTTTTCATTCCCGATTTCCCCAAACGCGTTGCTCCAAATCCGCTAATTGCCGTAATCGTAAAACAGTAAAAGTAACAGAACACGAAGCACAACAAAACGAATGGAAAACTTTCCATTTTCATCCAAAGTCCGACCCAATTCTGAAAGCGGCGTTTTCCCAGCTGAGTGATATTTCCCTGCGGTTTCAATTTTAGACCAAAATAAAATAAAATAAAAAAGAGGGAACGAACTTTCCGATACCCATTTTCTCCCCGCTCGCGGCTTTTCTTCTCAGTACTTTAACGCCGCAGCAAATGGAAATTTGAAATCGATTTCCTTCTCTTTATACAAAACAAGAAAAAAGGAACAACGAAGGAGACAAAACACGCTTTTACTATTTTTCCATTCGAAAAAAAAAAACTAGCAAATTTCAAATTGGTTCGAACATAATTCATGTAACAAAAATAAAAGGTTTTTATCCACAATTGTATCGCGCCTGACCGTTCTTCAGTGTAATTGGAAATGCCCGATGGAATCCGGGGGAAAAGGCGCGAGATTTAATGGATTGCTTCTGGTTGTGAACACTCATCCGGATTAGTGTGGTAAAGAAAGAAAGTTTGAAGGCGCGCAGGACAATAGAGAATAACAAAGAAGCATAAAATCAATTCGGTTAAGTAACTTGGATGAGGTTGAGGATGAAGATGAATATTAGAGTGGAAGGTTAACGGTTAATATACGAAGAGCTCAATGCAATTTTGATGCAATGAAGTGGTTATGCATAATTTATAAGAGATGAGCTTAATTCTGGTGGGAGATGGATTCTCTCGATCTCGCAGAAGTTTTTGCTAATGAATCGGGGAAAATCCAATTCGCAAATCACAATTGCAAATGTTTCTTTTTTTTATGAGGGTGAATAGAAGGTGTTTGCAGCGGAAACTTCTGGAAAACCTAACTTTGCGAACGTTACTTATGGAACTACGAACACTCACACTAGATCTAATTCTATTTCAAGCATAAACAACATACTTGAACTTAGTTTCTTGGAGTTTCGTAATTTGATTGATGAAAGCAAATAATATTGTTTATTTCATCCAATATTTATTTAAAATCTATGAAATCTTAATAAACATTTAATGAAGTCTTAATTAAAATTCTTCATTAATTATATTTACTTTGTAAAAGAGCAAATATTATTGATTTGTGTAAATATTAGCTTTTGTCTCATATAATATTATATAAACTATTAATTCGAACTGCATGTTTGAGCAAACTAATTATGCTTGCGTTCATTAGTAAGTAACGATTAACCAAAGCCGCTTTGCAGCTGGGATTTCACTAATAACGCCATCCAAATTTGAACGTCTCACCGATTACTTAGGGAATTTGATTAATAAAATGTACTCGGTTGAATCCCGATTGTCTCGCAGAACTTTGCACAATCCGTACAAACATTCATGCAACCACACAAAAGCAAATCGATTCGGAATAATTCAATGGATTTCTGCAAACTCTATCCTTTCCATCATGAAGAAACATATCGTTCCATCTTTCTATATTTACAATCCTTCCATCTTTCAATATTTTCATGTTTCAATCTTGTAATCTTTCAATATTTCAATTCTGTCATATTTGCATACATTGATTCACCTTCACCTTTCAATGTTTACATCTTTCAATCATTTCACCTTTCAATACTTTTATGTTTGAATCAACAAATCCTTCCATAATTTCATACTTCAATCATTCCATATTTACATTTCTTCAATTTTTAATTCTACTATTTTCAATCTTTGATTTTTTTTATCTTTGAATCCTTCCACTTCTCAATACATTCATTTTTCCTTCTTGTAATCATTCATACTTTCATGCTTCAATCCTTCCATTTTAAATAATTATATATCTTCCATTTTTCAAACTTTCAGTTCCTCAATCTTTAGACCTTTCAATATTTTCATGTTACAATCCTGTTATCCTTCCATATTTTCATACATTCAAGTTTCAACAACAAGCTTCAATCCTTCCATTTTTTTCATTATTTACAATTCTTCAACACTTTCATATTTCAAACTTGTATTTCCATATAAATTCTTACAATTTTTCCATCTTTCAATATTTACAATTCTTCTATTTTCAACCCTTTCATTTGTAATTATTTCATTTTTCCATCATTCAATCTTTCAATTTTTCATATTTCAATCTTGTAATCCTTCCATATTTCAATTTTTCCATATTTTCATCCAAAAAAGTACAAATTTTCCGTCTTTTAATATTTACAATTCTTGTTTTTTCAAACCTTTCATTTTTCAATCTTTCAATTCTTTCTTCATTCAATCTTTCCACATTTCAATACTTTAATATTTCAAACTTGTATTTCCATACAAAATAGTATAATTTTTTCATTTTTAATCGTTCTATTTTTCAATCTTTTAATTCTGCCATCTTTCCACATTTCAATTCTTCATATTTCAATCTTGTAATCCGTTCATATTTCAATTATTCTATACTTTTATCCAAATAAGTACAAATTTTCACTCTTTCAATATTTACAATTATTCTATTTCCAACCCTTTCATTTTTTCAATCTTTCAATTCTTCCATCATTCAATATTTCCACCTTTCAATTCTTCATATTTCAATCTTCTAATCCTTCCACATTTCAATTCTTCCATATTTTCATCCAAAAAGTACTAATTTTCCCTCTTTCAATATTTACAATTCTTCTATTTTCAACTCTTTCATTTTTCAGTCTTTCAATTCTTCCATCATTCAATTTTTCCACCTTTCAATTCTTCATATTTCAATCTTCTAATCCTTCCACATTTCAATTCTTCCATATTTTCATCCAAAAAGTACAAATTTTCCCTCTTTCAATATTTACAATTCTTCTATTTTCAACTCCTTAATTGTCAGTCTTTCAATTCTTCCATCATTCAATCTTTCCACCTTTCAATTTTTCATATTTCAATCTTGTAATCCTTCCATATTTCAATTCTTCCATATTTTCATTCTTTCCGTCTTTCAATATTTACAATTATTCTATTTCCAACCCTTTCATTTTTCAATCTTTTAATTTTTTCATCATTCAATATTTCCACATTTCATTTCTTCATATTTCAATCTTGCAATCCTTCCATATTTTCATCCAAAAAACTAAAAAAATTTCCTCTTTCAATATTTAAAATTCTTCTATTTTCAACCCTTTCATTTTTCAATCTTTCAATTCTTTCATCATTCAATCTTTCTACATTTCAATTCTTCATATTTCAATCTTGCAATCTTTCCATATTTTTATCTAAAAAAGTACAAATTTTCCCTCTTTCAATATTTAAAATTCTTCTATTTTCATCTCTTTTATTTTTCAATCTTTCAATTCTTCCATCATTTAATCTTTGCACATTTCAATTCTTCCATATTTTCATCCAAAAAAGTACAAATTTTCCATCTTTTAATATTTACAATACTTCTATTTTCAAGCCTTTCATTTTTCAATCCTTCCAACATTCATCTTTCCACCTTTCAATTCTTCATATTTCAATCTTGTAATCCTTCAACATTTCAATTCTTCCATATTTTCATCCAAAAAAGTACAAATTCTCCATCTTTCAATATTTACAATTCTTCAATTTTCAACTCTTTCATTTTTCAATCTTTTAATTCTTCCATCATTCAATCTTTGCACATTTAAATTCTTCCATATTTTCAAATTTTCCATCTTTCTATACTTCTTCTTCTTACTTACAATACTTCTATTTTCAAGCCTTTCATTTTTCAGTCTTTCAATTCTTCCATCATTCAATATTTCCACATTTCAATTCTTCATTTTTCAATCTTTCAATTCTTCCATCATTCAATCTTTCACCTTTTCATTATTCATATTACAATCTTGTAATTAATTTAATTCTTTCATCTTTCTTTCTTTCCACCTTTCAATTATATCATCATTTAATTTTTCAATTCTTCCATCATTCAATATTTCCACATTTCAATTCTTTATATTTCAATATTGTAATCCTTTCATATTTCAATTATTCCATACTTTCATCCAAAAAAGTACATATTTTCTTCATATTTCAATCTTGTAATTATTTTAATTCCTTCATCTTTCTTTCTTTCCACCTTTCAATTATATCATCATTTAATTTTTCATTCCTTCCAACTTTCAATATTTCCATCCGTTATTCTTTCCTTATTTCAATACTACCATCAATCATTCCATAAAGATTCCAGATCACAATTGATCTATACATACTTCAATCCATCCATCCAACTTTCAGGTCACAGTTGATTCATCCACCGATATCCCTTTTCTTTTTATTTTCTTTTTTCTCTCGCTGTCTCATTGAGACTTAACGATATTTTATTGTTTCAGGCTCCCCGGAGGTCGTTCCGGAGACACTGGTAGGTAATGCATACTAATAAGCGAACACCTCGGTTCGCCCTTTAGGGCCGTATTCATGGGCAACACGTGCGTCGCGCGAAAGAACCCAGAGAAGATTTCATTTTATTCGGCTCAATTCAATAAGAATTAGACCGGTCGTGGGACGGAAAAAGCTTTGAAGAATTAATTCCATCGATTTTCCATCCACAAGATGCGCACATACAAATACAAACTCACAAAGGGTAGAATACAAAAAGGCAAAAAATATAAAAGGGAGTGTGTGTAAGTGGATCAAGAAAGGTCAAGTCCGTTTACGTGCGGAACGGAATTTAATATATAAATAAATCAGAAATTCCTTCTTGTTTTTTTTATACATATGCGAAGAGCATTTTTGCTGTAATAATAATACAACAGGCTTTAATAATAAATTATTTATTTTTTGGTGGGGAATTTTGCGTTATTAATTTATATACGCGCGATATTAAATTCGCAGTTTTAGGCTCCGAGTATCAGATGTGGGTCAACAGTTCGTGCGTTTATGGACAAATACTCATTCATTACGTAACGCGCACTCGTTTTTTTCGTCTTTCATAACACATAGGTCGATGCGGTTCCCAGGCCGCATGTGTTAAACCATCAGGATTAAAGCAAAGCAGCTGGTGGAAGAATGTTATTAGATAACTAACTAAAATGAAGAAAGTTTTAACAATATTTTAGAACTGTAATTGAATTTATTATTTTCTTAATTAAAAAAGTAATATTTATTATATTTGAAACACCGGTGGCAATCGCAAGCCCGACAACCGAAATCCCGACGTTCGAAATCCCGGCTGTCTCAAAATCCCGACTATATCCAAATCCTAACTATGTCAAAATCCCGACAATCAAAATCCCGACTATATCGAAATCCTGACAGTGTCTTTTATTATATAAATTTCTACAATAACATTTTTATGGTAGTCGGGATTTCGATATAGTCGGGATTTTGATTTCGGGATTATGGTAGTCGGGATTTTGACATTGTCGGGATTTCAATCGTCGGGATTTTGACATTGTCGGGTTTCGAACGTCGGTATTTCGATACAGTCGGGATTTCGAACGTTGGGATTTCAATAGACGGTCTTTCGTTTGTCGGGCTTGCGATATAGACCCTTTATTATATTTGAAACACAAATTACAAATAGTAAATTTAAATAATTATAATTAATCTTAACTATTTCAAAGCTCTTATAGAACTGTTAATTTAATTATTTTTTTAAATACTAAAATTATTGATCAAACTGTAAAAAGTTTTTTATTGAATAATTCAAGAAATTTTAAAAATAAACTTTAAGTAACTTTAATAATACAAAAGGCCATGAAAATTTCTTTCAATTGTTTCATTAAACAAAATTTTAGAAATATCTAATTGTTATGACTTACGTAATTTTCTTTTTTAACATAGAAATTGTATCTATTTTTGTTAAAACAATGAAAATTCCAATTAGTTTATCCCTTCGTTACTTGCGTGTTATTTAGTAACATCGTTACTCGCGTGGCGTCTGAAAAACTGCGTTTAATATAACGTTAGTAATAAATTTATATAAGTACTGTAACACGATGGGTGATATCGCGTACGAAAAACAATTAACAAATAATAAAAAATCTTCTAAGCCAGCTTGGGCGTGAGTTTCTGACGTGTGAAGATTCTGGGCGACACTTCCTTTTCCGGAGACGAAGAACTCCAACTTCTACTTCTTCACATTCAGCACACTTCTTCTCTTTCGGGCTCCTTAACCATCTGGATTAAAGCAACGCAAGTCATCTGGTGGAGGAACAATGTTATTATATAACTATCTAAAAATGAAAAAAGTTTTAACAATATTTTAGAACTATAATTAAATTTATTATTTTCTTAATTAGTTTGAAACAGAAATTACAACTAGTAAATAAACATTAAATAATTATAATTAATTCTAACTATTTCATAGCTCCTTTGGAATTGTTAATTTAATTAAATTTTTAAATACTAAAATTATTGATGAAACTGTAAAAAGTTTTTTATTGAATAATTCTATAAATTTTAAAAAACAAACTTTAAGTAACTTTAATAATACATAAGGCCATGAAAATTTCTTTCAATTGTTTCATTAAACAAAATTTTAGAAATATCTAATTATTATGACTTACGTAATTTTATTTTTTAACATAGAAATGGTATCTATTTTTGTTAAATCAATGAAAATTCCAATTCGTTTAACCATTCGTTACTTGCGCATTATTTCGTAACATCGTTACTCGCGTGGCGTCTGAAAAACTGCGTTTAATATAACGTTAGTAATAAGTTGATTTAAGTACTGTAACACGACTAGTGATATCGCGTACGAAAAACAATTAACAAATTATAAAAAATCTTCTAAGCCGGCTTGGCCGACACTTCCTTTTCTGGAGAGAAAGAACTCTAACTTCGACTTCTTCAGATTCAACACACTTCTTCTCTTTCGGGCTCCTTAACTGTCTTGATTTCACAGCTCCTCTAATGGAGACCTCAACCGTCTTTCTTTGCGGTTCGATCCGGTTTCACCGACATTCTGGAGACATCGTTGCACCGTGGAGCGTTGTTTGTTGTCTTATCAACTTACAACGTACAGTACATAGTTGACTAGATTGAAGAAAAAATAAAACATATTATGGTTGCTTTGTACCGACTAGCATCTCACAGACGCCGCGCGAGCAACGGAGGGTTACAATTCATTTACTCATTTAGAATTTATTTAGGATTTATAAAGAATTGTAAAAAACTTTATAAAATTTTAGTATATTGATACATATTAAGTAACATTCCTTTACGTCATGTTAACTTAAATAAATTGATAGTCATAATAATGAAATTACAATGAACTAAAATAAGAAATTAGTATTTTGTTACAATTCTTATATATTAACTAACAAACTTATAAAATTAATTATATCCGGACCGGATCGAAGCCGGACTATGCGAGGTATGCGGTAGTGTATATTGATATATTATAAGTAACATTCATGAAAATTAACTTCAAGTTAAATTAAATAAATTATTAATAGAATTACAATTAACAAAAATATAAGAAATTAGTATTTTCTAATAATACATATATTTTAATTATAAATCTTATAAATTTAATTATATGTGGACTAATCGAAGCCGGACTATGGGAAGTATTGATTTTAATTAACAAACTTATAAAAGTAATCATATCAGGAATAATCAAAGCCAGACTATACGAGGTATTGACGTATAATAATATAACTTTATTATATTTTATAAAGCATTGTTAAAAGCTTTATAAAATTTTAGTATTTTTCTTTAACAAAATTTTTGAAATGTTCATTTAGAAATTACATTTTCCTTAAATTTATTCACGATATTTTTATTGAAAAAGAATTGTATGTAGCTTTTATGTAACTTACAAATATTGAAAAAACTTGAAAATTTGGTCTATATTTAAAAAAAATAATCATTGCTCATTTAAAATTTCATTAATTAATTTATTTTATGTTTATTGAATAAAACAAAATTTTAGGAATGTTTAATTGTTTAAAGGAATTTCAACTTCTCATTTATAAATTGTTTTTATTATTTTAATACATTTCTATTGAATTATTCAAATAATTTTCGTAAAACAACTGATTTTTTTTCTTCATTTATTTAAATATATAAAATGTTTAATCATGAATTCGTTTACAGTTTGCGTGAAACGGAATTGTTTTCTATTTTTTTTTTAATTAAAAACAATTAAATCCACCTATAAAATGTATAATAATAAACTTTGTTTATATTTTGCGCGGAATTAAATTGTTTCGTTAATCGTATTTATTGTTCAATTATTTATAAATATCTGCAGCAAAATCAATACAATTTACGTTCCCAACCAAGAATTGAAATTATTTCACACTATTTATATGAATAGTATTTCAGGTGTAATTATATGTTTGCAAGTGGATCATCTTACTTGTTTGAAGTATGGATTATAATTGGTGGATGCGCCGAGTCTCGAGTACAATTTCAATTTATGTAATTCCAAATTGGGAATTGGGTCAACAACTGGAGTGGATATATCATAGATTCGCTTACGGAAGTCTGCTGCTGCTGTTGACTGCCCGAGTTAATTAAAGAACCGTGTACTGTGGGTGGAAAGGGGATGAACACCCTTTCCAATCCCCCCCCCCAGCTCCACAATCACAGACCCTGGGGAACCGGAAAAGGCAATTCGCGCGCGTTTATTTTTTTTTTCTTCCTCGACGTCTGACTGTGAAACCAGACATTTAAAGCCCAATCAAACGCTGATGGAGCTGTTTGTTTTTGCTGCTCACACTCACCACTTTACGATTCCGACAATTTTACCCTGCACAAGAAAATATAACTGATCTTTGCTTCAGTTATTCAAACGGTAATTTCGTAATAATAAACGAAGCGTTTCGTTATTTATCGGAGACGCTTCAATTTAAATTGCGGTCTGCAAACTCGACGGAACTTCGTGCACGTAAACTCCGCATAATTCACTTCAAGTTAAATACGCATCAATTAATTTTGCAGTTGCGCAACTTAAATTGCAATTAATTGCAAACAACAGGAATTACCAACATTTATAAATGTAGCAATACCTCGGAGTATAGTTTGAATACGGACTAATCGAGGAGGCTCTGTGAACTATTATTTTCAGAATATATTTTAAATTTTCTCAATTAAAATTTAGTAATAATAATATTAATTTTAGCCTTTTTGTTCAATTGCAACAATAAATTACAAAATTAAAAGAAAAACTAAATATAATAATAATAATAATAATAAAAATTCAACTGTTGCAAAATTGAAATATTTCTGTCCTAAAATCTAGTTTGTTTTGAAATTTTCAAACTGAACTATACTGAATCCGGACTGATCGAAGCCGGGCAATTCGAGGTAGTGATGTATATTAATATATAATAAGTAACATATCTGAAAATTAACTTCAGGTTAAATTAAATCAATTGATAGTCTTAAAAATGAAATTACAATTAACAAAAAATAAGAAATTACTATTTTGTAATAATACTTATATTTTAATTATAAATCTTATAAATTTAATTATATGTGGACTAATCGAAGCCGGACTATGCGATGTATTGATTAACAAACTTATAAAATTAATTATATCAGGACTAATCAAAACCGGACTATGTGAGGTATTGACGAATATTGATACTAAGTAACATTCCTTGAAATTAACGTCATGTTAAATTAAATAAATTGATAGTGTTAATAATGAAATTACAATGAACTAAAATAAGAAATTAGTATTTTGTTACAATTCTTATAGTTTAATTAACAAACTTATAAAATTAATTATATGCGGACTGATCGAAGCCGGACTATGCGAGGTATTGACGTATATTGATACATAATAAGTAACATTCTTAAAAATTAACGTCATGTTAAATTAAATAAATTGATAGTCTTAATAATGAAACTACAATGAACTATAATAAGAAATTAGTATTTTGTTACAATTCTTATAGTTTAATTAACAAACTTATAAAATTAATTATATGCGGACTGATCGAAGCCGGACTATGCGAGGTATTGACGTATATTGATACATAATAAGTAACATTCTTAAAAATTAATGTCATGTTAAATTAAATAATTTGATAGTCTTAATAATGAAATTACAATGAACTAAAATAAGAAATTAGTATTTTGTAACAATTCTATATTTTAATATATTAATTAACAAACTTATAAAATTAATTATATGCGGACTGATCGAAGCCGGACTATGCGAGGTATTGATGTATAATGATATATCATAAGTAACATTCCTGAAAATTAACTTCAAGTTAAATTTAATCAATTGATAGTCTTAATAATAGAATTACAATTAACAAAAAATAAGCAATTACTATTTTGTAATAATACTTATATTTTTAACAAACTTATAAAATTAATTGTATCTGGATTGATCGAAGCCGGACTATGCGAGTTATTGATGTATATTATAAGTAATATTCCTGAAAATTAACTTCAAGTTAAATAAAATTAATTTACAGTTTTAAGTATTATATTACAATTAACTAAAAAGAGAAATTAGTATTTTGTAATAATACTTATAGTTGAATTAACAAACTGATTAAATTACTTATATCTAGACTAATCGAAGCCGGACTATTCGAGGTATTGATTTTAATAAATATTAATTTTAATAATTAATTTTATAAGTTTGTAAATTAATTATATCCGGACTATGCAAGATATTGACGTATATTGATACAAGTTAAATTAAATCAATTGATAGACTTAATAATGAAATTCCAGTGAACTAAAATAAGAAATTAGTATTTTGTTATATTTCAATTTTAATTAACAAATTTGTAAAATTAATTATATTTCCTATAAAGTATGTTTAAAACTAATTTAACAAGTAATTCAAACTACTGCATTAATTCAAATTGATGAGCGAAATAAATTCGCTGAAGATTTACTTAATCATAGTTATAAATTCGCGAAGATTAACGTCGCAAACACTTTACGTTAAATATGCATCAATTAAAAAGTGGAGGTGATTAATTTCCTGCAAAGAGTTAACGCCACACAATATTAAATATAAAAATAAAATAAATAACACTGACGAATGAGATTTCAAGCAAATAAATTATGCTTTACAAAATAACGCGTTTTAATTAATTACATTATGACACTCAATTATTTTATTATTAATTAATGGAAAATCATCAAATATTTTCACATGTAAATTGTTTAAAATTTCTTTTATTTCAAAATATTTTTGTATTGTAGCCTTTTCGATCCATATTATATATTTTCACTTGTTGATTTATGTAATTTTTTTGTGTGTGATAATAGATTTTTTTATTTTATTTTTCAGGATGCGAATGTGCGAGAATTGGAGAGCCTGAAACAATCGATCGGTGAGTTTGTATTAATAATTAATGAATGCTTTAATGAAAAACCGCAAAGTTATCTGGCAGTGTCGATAAACTGGTGATTAATAAGCCTTCAGGCATTCGAGCGTACACTTAGAGCGTAACTCTTATTAATTGAAAAACATACAGACGCCAACAGCGGCGGCGGCGGTATTCATTTTCTCTCGTCCAAAGTAAATATTTTCCTTTGCAGGAAAAACGCTGGAAATGATGAAAACCCACGCTTCCGTTTACACCAACGTGAATGGGCATAAAGAGACTCATTCCAATTCGAGATCGGAAGGTAAGGATTTATTTTCAACCCTCTAAGCCTCCCGCATTCATCTCTTCCACCTCCAAACCAAATGTTCACACCTCTCTGCATTCAACCCCCCCGCATTTCCGAAATCGGAGATACAACGGATCCATTCACGGCGCTTAGAATTAGCCAATAAAAAAAAGGGCGTTTGCAAGAGAAGAAAAGAAAGAACTTAATCGTTTTCCTCGGAATTGATGGATGGAACACAATGGAAGAAATGTCGATTCCGACAGCTATTAAGGACGATCCGTTCAGTTCACCCCACGTCGCGTCGTGATTCAATTCACCTGAAACTATTCCCTTGCATCAAAGGGAAAGGACGAAATCTCTCGCAGCATATTTATTCGAAACAAATCGATTCCATCACAAAAAAGAAATTTATATACAAAAAAAAATAGATGAATGAAGGGAAGAAGCTTAATACAGTTAACATAATTTCAAAGCGAAGGGCTTTTCTCCTTCGGGGCTGCGCGTCATCGAATTTCGAAACGAAATGGTCAAAGAAGTGCAGAATTTCCACTTCAAAGTGGACTCTTCTATTTCTATTTGAATCTCGCGCGCGCAATTTCCTCTTCTCGCATTTCTCTTCTCTAGGAAATAAAACGGAAGATCGCGGCGCGTTACGATAATGGTTTTAAGTTCAAATGATTACGCCGTTCAAGGAATTTTAATGCCTATTGCCTATTACTTCTCTCGAAACTACTTCAGCAGAAAAACGCAATTATCTTAATACTTCTATTTTACATTCTTCAATTAACATAAGTTTACTATCATTATAAACACCGTCTATTGAAATCTCGACGTTTGAAATCCCGATTATATCAAACCATAATCCCGACTGCATCAGAATCTCAACAAACATAATCCCGACTATATCAAAATCCTGACTGTATCAAAATCCGGATTATATCAAAAATTTCGAGATTTTGTTATAATCGGGATTTCGAACGTCGGGATTTCGATACAGTCGGGAATTTGATTGGCGGTATTTCGGTTGTCGGGCTTGCGATTGCCACCGTTTCAGTAAATAAACACCGTTTTTAAATATAATATTCCAATATTCTTATAAATCTTACAATTATTACATTTATGAAAATTCTGAAGAAAATTTTAGTTATAAAATATAAACTTTCCTATCAATCTGTAAATATAGAATAATCAATGTGTTTTACCTAAAATACATATAAAATACTACAAAAGTTGTTTTCGAATCAACAAAGTTGCACCTGTAATCGAAATCGATTCGAGAAAACTTTTTTAATTTAATTTAATTAAAGGAAAAATAATTGGAGCGATTTTCATTACTTAATGCTTCTGCGATCGTTGGAAAAAGCATCGGCCAATCTCTTATTAATTTAGCGCTTCCGATACTCGGCGGAAACTAATTAAGAAATGAACAAACTATATAAGTTCTTCCAATTAAAGCAATTACAATTTATTTAAGTGTATGATTTATTAGTGGATAAGTGATAATTGTTTAGCTAACGAAATTATTATATAATAGATGATTTAGTACGTTTATTTAAGCTAAACTGTTAAGATTTTATATAACAACTTATGTAACTGAATTGAGGGTTTAACTTTTTAGTTTAATGCAATTTGACGTGCAGTTATCGTTGATGCAACATATTAGGGAAGTTTTAAAACGCATTTTGCTCCGTGAAGCGAAAAGTATTTAATGCTTCTACTGTATGGGAATGGGAGAGATTATAATGAATCGGAAAGTTGCAAATTAGTTTGAACTAAAGTAGATTTTTTAAGCTTACCTCAAAGGCGAAAGTTAAACAAGTTTTCAAAAGAAATTTAAACGCTCGGATCGCTTCTGCATTATAATTATCTCTGAATAATAATAATCCCAATTTTCTTTTCATAGTGAAATCATTATTATACAAAAGAATACATTAAAAAATAAATAAATATAATAATTAGATTTTGATCAAATATTTACTGAACGTAGTTTGCTGAACTATTTTTTCAACTTTTAACGTTAACTTTAACTTTTTATGTATGAATACTCGTTACATTCAACATTATGTCATTTTCAAGATATTAAGGAAAAATGAAAATTTGAATAACGTATTATCTTTCATGAACTCAATATATTTGAGTTTAGTTTCAATCATAATAAATTTACGAAAAACTGAAGACATTGAAAATCATCATTTATCGATTAAGTAATAAATATTACATAAATTTTCGTTTCACATTTCTAAAGAGTGATTCTTTCGCTTTCATTTGATACTAAATTGATTCATTTTGATTAATTAATAAGAAAGTTACTAAGCTTTAAAGTGTCCGCGGTTTTCGCGAATTGAAAATGACTGAAAATTTTGATTTGCACTAGGAGGGGGAAAATTTCGATTCGCGAAAACCGCGGACATATTAAAGCTTAATAACTTTCTTATTAAGTGGCCAAAATGTATGTATTTTATAGTAAACAAAAGCGAAAGAATCATTCTTTCGAACTATAATTAAAAAAAATCAAATATATATGAAAATAACTGCCGGCATTGTGGTTTACTTTATAAGTTCATCTATAAGTTATAAAATTTAAACATTATAATTATGTAGCTTAATAGAATATATAAATATGATTTATTATTATTTATAATCTTTTATATTTTACTCGTTTAGATATAATACGTTGCATTGGTTGAAAATAATGAAAATGAATAAAATGTCGAGCGTTAATTTTTTATTACTTTATTTTTAAGCGTTCATTTTTCGTTACTTCATCCACTGCAAGTATATGAAGTTATTGTTATTATATGATAATGTCTGTGCTATATTTAGTGCTATAGTTGGTATAAAGATAGGATCTCCATAGAGAATCTGAGGACAAACAGAGACGTTCCGTCAATGGGAATGTGCAATTATAGCTGGACGAATTCAGATAAGGTAACATAAGTATGTTTATATACATTTAATGTGCGTTTTGTTGACAAACAAAATATTTACCTTTAATTTCGCGTAATGGATGGTAGAAATAGGAAAACGTTCGATAATATTTAGCAAAGTCAAAAGTAAACATCTTCTCCGAAGTTTGAATGCAGACGTATCTCACGATACGCATTCAAATTCCACCCAAATGATGCATAGCTTCCAAACATCTCCCCCATTTTTTTTCCCTACCCATTCACCCCGTATATCCTTTTAGAGCCTATTCCAACGATCGAGGGAAATAAAAGATATTCTGCGGTGGGATTGCCTCGCCGGAGTGATTTACTGGTTTTTTTTTTGTTCTCCAAATCCAGTTTCTGTATTATATTCAAATATATATTCAAATTTTGTGTTTGTGTGTGTGTTTACAGTTAAAGAGGATGGACAGTTGTTGGCTGGTCTTGGACAACGCATTGATGGAATATCCAATGGACGGATGGAGGGTACAATTCGCACCAATCTGGACATTCCTTCCAAGGGTTTACACAAATCCTTGATTGAACAGCTCGTTCCTACTGAGTACACGGAGAATGGGAACAGGAGGTCGGTCTTTGATGGCCCTCAAGAATCCAATAACAATAATAACGTGAGTTCCAATTAGTTTAGTTCCACCACACTCAACTCAACTGTATTATACAGATGAGTACAATCCAATAAGTATACAATTTCTATAAGCGTAGTTTCAGGACGATCACATTTCTAAGCATTCAACGTTGAATACATTTCAATCTAATATTAATATTATTTACGAGTTTTGATTAGAAGTATTATTTCGCATCAATTA